TCCAAATTTACTAGTCTACTATCACTAATAAACGTATCCCCTTCTGTAGTAATATGAAAACCATAAAAATGGGGTTGAACCCTAACTCTTTCGGAACGTCTAAGAGGTAAGGACTCGTCAATCGGTTCAACTAGAGTTTCCTCCTTGGGTTGAGTGCCAGCATCAGAGGTTCCTTCATCGCTCGACTCTTGAATCTCTTCAAGATCGATTTGCCTCCCACTGTCCCCTTGGCTTATGAGTTCTCATTCTCGGAAAACCCCTCTCCTCGCAATGAAGACAACATAATCACTCAGTCTATAGAAGAGATATCTAAAGGAATTATGTGGGCAACCGATGAAAATACACCGCTCATTACGAGGTTCGAGCTTGTCGTGAGACTCTCGTCTTACGAAATCCTCGTAACCCCAAACCTTGATATGTGCCAACGAGGGAGCTTTCACTATCCACATCACATGAGGTGTTTTAGAAACCTTCTTGGTAGGGACTAAGTTAAGGATATAGGCGGCAGTCTCTAAGGCATACCCCTAGAATGAGATAGGTAGCGAAGCACAACTCATCATGGAACGAACCATGTCTAGAAAGGTTCGATTATGCCTCTCAGCCACACCATTTAACTGTGGTGTCCTAGATGGCATCAATTGAGAAACAAATCTGCATTCCTTGAGGTAGTCTTGGAATTCAAGACTTAGGTACTCTCCAATTCGATCGGATTGGAGCATCTTGATTTTCCTACCCAACTGATTCTCCACTTCTTGTTTAAACTCTTTGAACTTTTCAAAGGTTTCTGACTTGTGATTGATTAAGTAGATATACCCATATCAGCTATAATCATCGGTAAAATTTACATAGAAGCGGTTTGCATAACTTATGGTGGATCTGAAGGGACGATACACATCAGTGTGTATGAGATCTAATAATCCCCCAACCCTTTCACAAGTGGTAGTGAAATGTGATTTAGTTATCTTTCCAAGGAAGCAAGACTCGCACGTGTCATCCGACCTAAGGTCAAATGACTCCAACACTCCATCCTTTTGGAGCTGGGTATGAGTCTCTTGTTGACATGTCCAAGACGACAATGCCACAAGCATGATTTGTCCAAACCATTTGACGAATCAATATGCAACACATTATTTCCTAAGTTATCTACAACCATCACAGTTTCATATACTCCATTACATGGCAATGCTTCAAAATAAAAAATACCAGTATATAAAGCATTTATAGAACAATTTCATTATTAAATGAAAATCTAAAACCTTGTCTGTATAAACCATGAAAAGAAATAATGTTTCTCTCCATTTCCGACAAGTAGTAACAATCATTTAAATCTAACCCTAACCCAGTACTAAGCAATAAAGAGTAAACTCCAATCTTGGTGATAGGCGACACTTTCCTATTTCCCATGATCAATTTCATATTCTCGTGCTCCATATCCCTAGTTCTTCTTAGACCTTGCAAATCAGAACAAATGTGAAAACCACATACTGTACCAAGGACCCAAGAAATAACATGTGATGAGTTATTAGATTGAATAGTGTAAATACCTGAAAAGGTGGGCTTTATCTTCCCATCCTTGATGTCCTTCAAGTATTTAGGGCAACTTCATTTCCAATGCCGTTTATCATGAAAGTGGAAGTACTATGCGTCCTTTGGATTTGAAGAAGGAGCAGCAGAACCACATTTGGTCCCACTTGAAAAGGATCCATCATGGGAATTTCTCTTATGGCTATTAGAAGGATCCTTCCTCTTCTTTCCTTTACCTTGTCCAATTGCCAAGACAGGGGCACCAACGGTAGGAGTGGGTGCAACAGACTTGCCTTTTAAACCACTTTCAGCAGTTCTTAGTAGGCCTTGAAGCTTGCTTAGAGTGACTTCCTCCTTGTTCATATGATAAGTCATTCGGAACTGATCATAACAAGGAGGCACAAGAGTGTAGGATAATATCAATAGCCAACTCTTCGTCAAAGTTGTCATTCAACTTTAGCAAGTGGTCCACATAATTGTTCATCTTTTGCAACTGGGCCGTGATGAACTCTCAATCCTTTATTTTAGTTGTTATCATGTAGGCAATGATTTCGTACCTTTCTTGTCGAGTACTTTGATGGTACCTTTCCATCAAGTCTTGGTGCATCTCAAAAGGCTAGAAGTCATTATAGTACCTTTGAAGCTCAAGAACCATAGTTGTAATCATGATACATGACACCTTTTTCGCATCCTTCTCATGAGCCCTATACTCAGCCAATTGCTCGGGAATAGCAGTTTCTTCATCAATATCCTTCAAGTCTTTATCAAGGACATATTCTTTGTCCTTGTATTGAAGGTTCGTGCGTATGTTATGAATCTAATCGTTGAAGTTGGACCCATCGAAGTTTACCCTCCCACATAAATTCATGAGGGAGAAAGAGCCAGAAGAGCTGGAGCCAAAAGCGTTGGAGGTAGACATCTGAAAAAGAAGAACGAGTTTAATTAGATAGAAAATTCTTAATATGACACCCAAATAAAATATTAAGGCTAGGATCCAAACACAATAACTCACAATTCAGAAAAGGGATGTCGTAATCTAATTGCAAATTATTTGAAAGGAGGAAAATGATGATTTACCAATTTCATCACCCAAAAACAAATTTTTGAAAGAGTTTAAATTTTATGAAATTCCTAGTTCTTTGAGATTCGTTGAACTTTTCAATGGCATTTTCAATCTCGATTATGCCCTTCAAGTTTGTGACTGGGATACCGAGGATCACAAACAAGGTGTGAATAACCATGCAAATGTGCTCGGTACTCTCGAGGTCATTTATCACCTAATCAATGTGCCGGTTAGACACACACTTTCCATTGATCTATGATAAACATTGAGCTACTGTTTTCCACCCTTTTTAGTCCCAAATTAGTGTGCCAATCAACTACACACGCTCCAGTAACGACTTGGCAAGGTGCAAAGTGAAATTTCATAGAATAGCATCATTTTCACATTTTTTCTAAAGTAGATAAGATTGAGAATTTATGAAAAACATTTAGTTACTTTATAAGATCATTATACTTATTAATGATGAATTAGTTTGTCCTATCCTACTAGTTTGGCTAATAACCCTCCACCAATCAAGGAAGCGGTGGGTGAGAGTGGACACCCATTCAATCGCCATTTTATAGGCAGTTTCCTTATACCTCCCCCTCATAGATCGGCTTCGTGAATGATGCCTAATAACAGTAAGACTGACTTGTCTTATATATATATACACACACACACACACACACACACACACACACAAATGTTAATCTTTTAATATTATAATAGTATAAGGGTTGAATTTTAAACTTTCGGGTGTGCCAGGGGATTTTGGGTGTGACAGGTGATCTATTTATAATGTAGGATCCTTAGGGTTTTAACCTTGAAACCCTAATTCACTTGCTTAGGCCCTTAATCAATCTAATAACCCTTATGATAGGCCCTTGGACAAAATCTTCATGGACCCTCACATAGATTTCGTCCAACTCTAGTCAATATGGATCATTAGCCCAAACTATAAGTATTACTGATTTACCTAATTAATGTCTGTTAATTTAATAAGCCTCTTTTGATCGCTAAATTAATTCCAAATTAATTATTGATCAATACTAATTAAATAATATGATTTCTCAATTAATATATTCTTCTTATAATATATTAATAAATCACAATTAACCTTTTTCTCAATTATTCATCATATCAAATTTGTTGTGGTGAAGATAACCTAAAATGATCATGCTACTATCAGGTCAAGAACTTGCCAATTATAGTTATGAGCTTAGACACCTAATCCAACATCATAACTAGAAATTCATTCAACATTCATTTTTTGTATACACTAAACTGAAACTTACTGGAATTTTCAAAACTTCATACATGAAAGTTGTAATTCCAGAAACTTAGAGAGATATAGAAATCAAAACCTAAAATTCTATAAACGAGAAGAAATATTGAGAAAAACAAAGTTTTAACCGAAGATAATGAAACTAATCACCTAAATGGCGCAAGGAGGTGGAGGAACGGTGGGAATAGCAACGGAAGATGGAGGTGGCAGGCGTTGAAATCGATGGGTTCCTGTTTATCGATGCTTCAGGCAATCGGTTGCTGAAAAAGTTCATAAAGACCCATTTGCCTGCTAAGAAGGTTAAACTTGGTTGAATTGAACAAATTATCTGGTATTCTGGGTTTTTTTATTCAAAAAAAAAACTTAATTGTTAACTAGATGGGAACTCGGATTCGTTGCTAATGTAAAAGATGGTGTTATCGTTTATCAGTCGTCCGTGATGGAAGTAGGATGCTATAGTTATTTGACAATGAAAGTATGCTGTCTAAAAATGAAATAAAGTAGAAGTAAAGTGAAATCTATTCTATTTTTAAAACACATATGTTGGATTCTTAAAGGTAAACAGAAAGAAGCATGTTATCCTGAAATATAGATTTATGTTTTGTCTAATAAAGGCATGTACTTTCATATGCACAATATAAGTTGGTTTCTTTGAAAGAGTGGTGTATCTTTCTTCTCCGGGTCCATAAATAGCAACCATACGAATCACACATGTGCAAAAAAATCCTCTCTTTTTTTCCTGTAAAACAATAGCCAAAACAAAATTGGGTAAACAAATGTCAAAAGTGTTTTAAAATTAAAGATAACGCATTATACATCCAATTTTTTTAGGTACATGTCTATAATGACCATGCATTAACATCACTTTTTACCTTCTACCTAAAAAACCAATCAAAAGGCATCTGATTTGAACACAAGAAAAAACAAAGAAAAAGGACCATTCATAATCCCTTATTCTCTTCACATCTTTTTCTTTCCTCTTTCTAATAAGGCAGCGAGCCTCACCTGGCTACTTGCCTAGCACATCTTAGGGAGTGGACTTGGCACCTATAGCGAGCTGGAGGCGAGCTACTACTATATATACTTTTGGCGTATATTAAACCTTGAAATTAAGTGAATCTTAAGTGTTATGAGTTGAAAAGTTAGTACCTGTGGTTTTGGTTTTTAAATCTGATAATTCTCTTTTTAGTGGTTGTTTGGAGGTTCTAACGCTTATGCCTTTGGTTTTTTTCTTCTCATGTTGACATTCACCTGACCGGCTAGTGAATGCGTTTTCTCATCTATCTTAACACAAAACTATAAGAAAAGAAATCGTTTGCCGGGCTGTTTTCCACTGGAATCTATTCCCATTACGACATTGTAGTTTCAAAATTATGGCTAAAACAATTCAAAATAACATAAAAATAGATGAAGAAATGCAACAATAAAAATGATGCTTTTTCAATATAAGGAAAAAAAAAAGCGAAATATGCTTTTAAGTTTAAATATCTTGTAAAATTTTAAAAATAATAAACCAAATTAATAATAGAATACGTCATATTTCTCTGTCACCAATTGTTTTTATTTAGCAGTTTGCAATTTCGCTGCAAAAGGTGTCAACATACCTACATGTCAAGGTATCGGGCTTAGAAATTTTGTGATAAGCATTTCCCAAGCTGCAAAAAATAAGAGAAATTAGTAAATTATCTGATTTTTGACTATTTAGTTATTTTTTTTAAAGAGAGCATTTGCTTACTTTTTTTTGTATTTAAATAAATTACACGAATGGTCCTTATGGTTTAGGATAATTTGCACATTTGGTTCCTAGCTTATTTTTTTAACTCGGAAGGTACTTACAATTTGTTTTTGTTACACATTTGGTCCATGTCTTACCTAAAAAGACTATTTTGCCATTGATTTTTTTAATTTATTTAAATAAACACACCTCGAACTCTATTTCCCTCACCTTACCTTACCTATCCTACCATTTTTCCCTATTTAAATAATAGTTTTTTTAGGTAAGATAGGGACCAAATGCGTAACAAAAACAAATACTAGGGACCAAATGCGTAACAAAAACAAACATTAGGGACTTTCCGAGTTAAAAAAATTAGTTAGGGACCAAACGCGTAAATTACCCCAAACCATATGGACCATTCATGTAATTTACTCTATTTTTAATGTATCTTAGCAGCTCATGTTCAACATACTTGCTCTGACCCTACATACAGAGTTGGGTACATTTAGGGTGGAAATGCTATAAAAGCAACAACGTACCACCCAAAAATAGTAGTCAACTTTGACATGGTAGAATCTAAATAGAAACTTACTTTAAAACAACTACCAGAAAATACCAACCTCGAAGCTGTAGTGCAATTGCAATATCACTTATAAAAATGCACCAAAGGAAATGTAAATTGGTTTTTGGTAAAGAAATAAAAAGAAATTGGAAAAAACAGAAAAAGGTATAAACTAAAAGTGCAATGCTATTTATTGTATTTACCAGCTAAATATGAAAAAGTACAACCAATACAATGTATCTTAGTTTCTGGTAAAAAATCTAAATAAATTGAAAAAAAATCAGAAAATGTAAGGTCAAAGTGCATTGCGGTTTAGTATATATACTACCTAAATATGAATAAATGAAACAATAGGAATTTGATTTGGTTTTTGGAAAAGAAATTGAATAAACTGCTGAAAACAAAAACAAAAAGGTGTAACCTCAAAGTACGTTGCTATTTAGTGTTTCTTTTTTTTAGTAAAAAAGTCAAACCAAATTAAAAAAAGAAAAAGTATATAAATTCTAAGTATAGTGCTATTTATTGCAATTATAACCAAAAAATGGAAGATGCACGAAACGACAATCTATTTTCATATTTTGGTAGAGAAATTAAAAGTTGCCAAAAATAGAAAAAATACATATAAATTCAAAGTACGTTAGTATTTAGGGTATTTCACTCATAAAAATGGAAAATGCATTTAATACCAATGTAGTTTGTTTTTTGGGAAAAAAAATCAAAAGAAATCTAAAAAAAAAGTCGCATGGGTCAAAAGGTGTTATGTGTTTTGTTTAGCCAACTCATCTAAAAGTATTTGAACAAAATCTGGTTTTTCAACTTTATATTCTGGAAAGTTTTAGAGTTTACATATACAAATCTAGATTATGACCATATTTACTACAAAAGTTATTGATATTATGACATTCACACATAATCATAAAGAAAATAAAAGTAGATTTCATTTATGAATAAAAATGAAACTAAGTCGCTATAATCAGAATTCTTGGTAAAGTGCATTGTTATTTATTGTACCAAGGGCATTGGTATTTATTTAATAAATTCGCCTGTTGTTGGACATTTGTATCCACCCATTCTTTCAACCTATTTATCTTCAATTTTGTCCAATCTTTAATCAAATTTGCAATTGCAGCTTCAACTTCAAAAGGTGTCATATCCCTTGTAATTGTCAATCACCCATCATAATCTTTAATGGAATCTTCAATTGTGATATGTAGAATATCTTTTTCTAACTAACATGCAGCTCTTAAAACCTGCACATCATGATGGTTAATTCACAACATGAGGGTAAATTCGGTAATTCCTCATTTCATATTAGCATTTGAAGAGCCAACCACGTTTACTACTTCATAAGAAGTTTTTCTGGAAGATATCATTTTCCATAACCGATCTAATATGTTCTTATAACATTAAAAAAAACTGGAAAAAAATATATTGTATTTGCATTTACCTCAAAAATGAAGAAAATGCAAGAAAAATAAAGTAAATATGTAAGCTCATATTCCTTTCTTTGTATCTGTGATTCAATAGTTTTGATAATCTCTTTATTCTCTGTGTTAGATTCCAAATGTTAAAATGTAGAAGGTTTCTAATATTTAACTAAAAAAAGAAATATACATATTCTCCATGTTAAAGAGTTTTAGTCACTAAAAGAAGATCTCCTGCCGTGATAAACAACTGATAAGAGGGTAAAAAAAACAAATAAAACCGAATCATCTATAAGAATCAAGAGAATGAAACATGTATCTATATATGTGGAATGAGAAGAACATGTAACCTTCCAATGATAAAAAAAAAGCATTTCTGAACTGTGATAGTAATTGAGCATGGTGTGTGATTCTGGTGAGAAGTTCTATGGAAGAAATGAAAGTTACCTCAAATATGAAATATTAAAGGAGTGTCCATTAAGAAACATATCTATTTATCAAGTGAAATACCAACCGTTTTATGATTATTATGTTCAACACCCTCAAACCACATACTTTTATCATCCCTCCCAACACCATGAATATAGAAAGTAGAACAATGAGGAAGATCAATCTTTAACTCCAACCTAAACCGGTAACCTGTTCCACCAATGATAGTAATTGTCACAAAGATACTTGTGGTGAAAATGTTAAACCCAAAAAGCATATTGTTTAAAAAGATCAACAACCTACAGATCAAAACACAAAACTAATAAAACATTTTGATGTCTTACCACAAAGGGCTTCTTTTTATTATTCAAAACAATATGTATGTTTCTGTTATGATGTATTTCCTGTTATGAACAGGAGAAATTAGGCAGCAACAGAACAATTATGACCTATCAGACAACAATTGAATAGATACACCAACCGTGAAATCAACAACCAAAAGGTGTTGTAGGTTCAGACTCTAATGGTCACCCTGTATGGAAATCAAACGACAACATTAGAAAACAAAAACCATGATAGAATGGAAACATATACAATTCATATCAGATGAGACACACATACATATCATATCAGATATACATAGAGGCATAAAGATCAGGTTACACATATACATAGAAGAAGAAACGTCGGAGCAAGCGGAGAGATAATGGAAATCTTTCATTGACAACCCTCACATCTTCTTTTTCTCCTTTGATCACTAAATTCGCTGACCATTTGAAACCTTCCTAAAGCGTAATTAGCCCAACTCCATGAGACCCAAGAACAGTTGTGACCATTCCCACTTTCTTCCCGGATTTCATGGCCATTACTTATGAACTCGGAGCAACCTCTTGCACAACCTATGTTGAAAAAAAATTATAATTGTAATTTGTGATGAATCAAAATTGAATAGTGACTTGTGATTTATAGCTTTTCCAGATTGTTCAAGAAATCTGAGTAGAAACAAATACCTGTCGGTTAGCCTCATCAATGGCAGCCCAACCCATATAAACGAAATTAAAGCGCCATAAACTTCTTATATTTGTGTGTGTATCCCAAGTTGTCGTTCTCAACATTGAAAAAGACGACCCCTTTAGGGTTCGTCCCTCTTTTTTTGTTACTTATTATTTGCCCGGTGTGTTTAATTTACGGAGGTTGATGATTCTCAGAAGATGAAGAAACGTCGGAGCAAGCGGAGGGAAGATGTTTTGGGAGGAGAGAAAGAAGCAAAGAGCTACAGAGGAAGATGTTACGGAGAAGAAAGAAGATGAGTAAAGAAAGAGAGATATCCATAGAACACGTCCGTTCGATAAAATAAAGAACGAAAGCAGCAACAGCCACGTTGACATCGGTGGGATAAATTTACAAACTAACCCCCGCAAATTAAACACACCGGGCAAATAATAAGTAACAAAAACAGAGGGACGAAAGTTGGATAAATTTGAACAGTTTACTGTTGAAATTTATCAAAACTTTAATATATATATATATATATATATATATATATATGGAAAAATGAATATACCCTTAAAGTTATATAAGCTTAGGTACCCAAACTTACCTTAATACGTCATTTTCTTATATATATTTATTATAATGTTCTTAAACTTCAACCTTAACTTGATTTACTTTCAAGATATTTGAACTTTCACTATTATCTTTCTCGTAAATCACATATTTTTGCCGAACATCTACTAGGCCATATATATTGTAGTTGAAAATGAAAATTATGTAAGAGGAAGATAAATATTTAATTTAAAAAAATCTTGGAAGTACATCAAGTTAGAAGTTAAATTATAAGAACATTGGACAATTAGAATGTTTTATATGATATAAAACGACTTAGTATGGTGAGTTTGGGTACCTAAGCTTATATACCCTTAAGGGTATATTCACTTTTCCCATATATATATATATATATATATATATATATATATATATATATATATATATATATATATATATATATATATATATATATATATATATATATATATATTAATTTGTTCAAAATTAGATATTTTCCCTTAATATATATATATATATATATATATATATATATATATATATATATATATATATATATAT